TGTGACATGTTGCGCAAAGGAGAACCCCCCCACCAGCAGTGACGCGGCGGGTGAGTCAGCGCTCCCCTCCCCCTCCTCCGCACGGTAACGTAACGGTGACGCAACAGGATTGTTACGGTAGTAACAGCGGTTACTACCGCTAGCGTTACTAGCAACACAGCGCCAGGCAACAAGGGTGCCTATTACGTGGCCGTTTTCCGTATTGTCCGATCAAGGCTACATAAGGAGCAGCGAAGGCTATTCACAGTCAGTTGTACTGAGTCAGTCAGTTAGTCCTGGAGCTACCTACGAGTCAGTTAGTCGTGGAGCTACCTACGAGTCAGTTAGTCCTGGAGCTACCGCCGAGTGAGTCCTCGAGCTACCTCCGAGTTGTACTGAGTCAGTCAGTCATGGAGCTACCTACGAGTCAATCCTCGAGCTACCTCCGAGTTAGTTCCGAGTTAGCCAGCAACCAGTCAGTTGTCTTGTGGCATTTGGAGTGTACTAATTGTGATACTGCAGATAGCAGTAATCGTAAATCTGTAATTTGGGTGATTGTGAGAGCGGATGTGAAATAAAATTCGCTACATCAAATACATCGAGAAGTTATTTGTCGCGATATACGCCCAATACGCGACAATATGAAGGATCTCAGGGAGATGGGTTATGAGGACTGGAGGCAAGAGGAACTGGGCCAGGATCATGACAATTGTGGGCTTTGGTATCAGTGGCATTAAACCTGTAAGTTCTGCTACCACATTGCTAATCAGCTATTACACAATATTGTGACATGTTGCGCAATGGAGAACCCCCCCCCCACCAGCAGTGACGCGGCGGGTGAGTCAGCACTCCCCTCCCCCCCTCCGCACGGTGACGTAACATGCAACGCGCGGTGACGCAACAGGACGACGTGGAACCAGTTCCTACTGTGATGTGGCATCGATTCCTACTGTGACGCGACACGCAATGACACTGTTGACGCGGGCAACAGGTAACAGCGAACGGAATATAAGCCAGCTGAGCAGTAAGCGTGAGTTAGTTGTAATGTGGCCATCACCAAGTTCAGTTCCGAGTTAGTTCCGAGCAAGCCTACAAGCGAGTGTGTTATCAACAGTCCTCAAGTCAGCAGACTACAGTTGGAGTATAGCAGCCGTCGCGGAAAGAAGAACCGGACGTGTGTGTAATTGTGTAATTGGGAGTGTGTGATACAGTGATACATAGCTCCCCTACTGTAAACAGGTAGTCTACTGACAATAGCGTGGTTTGATTTGCGAATAGGGTTATAAATTGTGAAACCCCACAACAGTGTAAACAGATTATTGCGAATAGGGTTATAAAGTGTGAAACCCCGCAATATTGTTATAATTAATTGTATCCGAGACTAGTAGGTTGTTAAATAAACCAATTAACGATCTCTACGGCGTATTCAGTAACTAAAACACGTTACAACTAGTGCGATGTGTTGCGCAACGGTAATAGGCAGGTCAACANTTCTCAGTTCGCAAGTTACGAGCTACAGACGCGTGTGCGAGAATCAGTGATAGTTCGTGATAACCAGTTATATTTGGAGTGTGTAATTCAGCGAGACTTGTATAGCTCCCACGCTATTAATACGTGAAGACTCTTGAAGATAGTGTTAAGAGATTTTATTGTAGGGTTTGTAAAGTGTGGAAACCCGTAACATTGTTATCATTAATTGTAGCTGATACTTGTAGATTGTTAAAAAACCAATTAACCATCTCTACGGCGTCTTCAGTAACGAAACACGTTACAATATTAACAAACATAATACACATATTCAAATTGAGTTTTGTGTGCAGAACGCTATTTTTATTCTTGTGTCTTGTTTTTAGTACTCCTTCTCACCTCTTTGCTGCTGTATGTAAAAGTGACCCCCCCCTCTTATTTTTTTGTGGTGCTGAGGGTTAGTGTGAGTGTGTGTTTTGCTTTTCTGGGCGAGGGAGCTTTTCAACCAGGTATCAGGTTATTATATAGTATGGTTTTGATGGTGTTCTTTTCTGTATCTTTTGCTCTTTTACTTATTGGATACATGTGTAATTGACTTAGTGGGTATTTAATAACTCATAGTTTGTGATCATATGGATGGCATGAACTATTATAATCATAATATCAGTCTGTGTGGGTTCCTTATATATTGACAATTTCAAATTACTATCCTTGCAGTGTGTTGTGAGATCTAAAAACTTGATGGATTTGTGTAGTTCTTTTACTATAGTGAATTTTATGGATGGTTTTAGTTTGTTGAATTTGTTGAATGTGTGATGGCCCTGGGGTTGACTCAGCCTCTAACAGAAATGAGTACCAGGAATATTCTTGGGGGTAAAGGGCGCTCGGCTCATAGGGCTGATAACCTTGCCGCCATCTATGAGTCAATTGTCTAGAAAATGTGGGAACCTCAACATCTCACAACCCTATGGGCCTCCACAGCCTGTTACAGGGATACTTTTACTTTTTTTTTTAACTTTTATATAAATGTTGGTATATTAGGTACATGTTTTCTATATCTTTAGTCTTCTACAGCTTTTAAATGAAAGGTTGATGACCATAAGGAAAACATTGGGATATTAATTAATTTTAATTAAGATCAATTTATTTTAATCGGGAAATATCATGTTCACACGTGATATAACATTTTGACCTACAGTACAACAATTTTAACAAGATAGAACGCACCTGATGAAGGTTGTATACGGCAGAAAAATATAGTATGGAAGAAGGGTGACTAGATAATAAGTTGCATTTTACACAGAAATATATGTAAAATAAATTATATATTAATGCGATAGTATGCTTAAATACAATATTATGGACTAGACGTGGCCTTAGGTTAAGTTCTTGAAGTTAAGACTGTAAGTCATGAATCACCTGCAGAGCTCATTAGTTGACCAGTTAACTCTTTATGATGTTCCAGTCATCATGATCCATCAGAATTATCAGAGCTATGAAATGATATATTTACTCTATAGTTTTATCTCTTCTCCTTGAACATATTGTTGAATGAATTGTAATACCTCGTAACATTCACAGTAATTCTTCAGACAGCCAGAACGCTTGCAGTTACAACCTTTATTGTGTCGTCGCTCATCCCCTACAATACCCTTGCCAATTTTTGGCCTAAAAGCATTGGGATTCCTTTCAAGGCAAGACCTGATGGCTCTCTGTCGATCCTCCTCATGTTCCAAATTATTGAAACAGTTATTGCAATTGCACATGTGGCAGAATTCCCCATTGGCAAAGCAGTCACAGTATCTGGAAATGCAAGAATAAATATGATGACAATACACAACAATAATTTACTATGGAAAAGTTCATGTAACCTTGTACAACCTGTTTTACTATGAAAAACTAAATATTTTGCTAGCAGAGAGTATTTATTTTTTCATATGATTCTCAGAATAAACAGCTACTCATTTCGTAAACAGTTATCAATTGATTTTTGTAATGAGGTTGAAGTGTGTTTTCTGTGAGATAGGAGATAAATATTTAAATATTAGTTTGAAGAAATGTGTGTGTCAAAGACTTAACCCATCCTGACTGACAATCAGATATAGCAGAGGCCAACTGTTGCCCAATATGCAGGAACAGACCATACCAACTCAATTTATAACTGCCTCTGCCATAAAAATTACCAGAAGTCAGGGAAAATGATGCTATTTTCATGGGTTATTTAACAACACTTTCAGTGTCAAGACTACATTGTATCAGATGATAGGATGAAAGATGAATTGGAAAGGATGTGAAAGGAAGCAACTGTGGTCTAACCAAGGTACTACTGCAGCATTTGCCTGGAAGGAATGATGAAAACCAAGAAAAGAAATCAGTCATGGTAGCCTGTGTCCTGGCTGAGGTTTGAACCAAGCATCTCCCAAACACAAACACAAAGCATTACTCTCACCTGGAGGGCCTAAGCAAAACCATGGGAACCTGTCAGGATAGTTGGTATCCCTGCCAAGATTCAAAGTGAACACCTCCCAAACAGAACTCTAGAAATTTCTGTGCTACTACATAGCTATAGAGATGGCAGGTCTTAGGTTTTATGTGTGGGAAAGTTGTTTTTCAAGGAGGTAAAGTGGTGTTCATGGATAATGTTGTTTGTGGTTGTTCATTCAATTTATTTTATGCATTTACCTATCCTGTCAAGGAGAAGACTGCATACTGGTGAAGAGATACTGCTGCTGGATAAATACTGTCTTGTACTAGTGACTAGACGCAGGGTTTGGAATAGTAACTGGATTTACTGAATACTTCTAACTCGTAACTACAAATCATTGTAATGCTCTCATTAATCTACACGGACCACACAGAAAACACCGTATCCAACAATGCTTCCATGATTGCATGCATATCCATTGCTGTAGAACTGTGTTTACAGGCTGCTGCCTAGCAATGGATGACTTATCTTGTTAAACTGTTCCGTCACGTCACAATACTATAACTCACAGTATATGCTGATCAAATTTGCTAAAATGCATATTCAGAAGCTAATCACAGATATGGATGCAGGCATGCAATTTTCTCAAGATTAACCTCTGTGACGACTCACAATTTGAGACACTGTGACTTGGTACAATTGCACGGTTTCCTCGGCCGGATACCATTTGGTTCTAGTGTTGTCCTTGTTACTACACTTGGCCTGGATTGATGGTGTGAATCTGCACTCACTGCACTATTACTCGATGACTGACTGACAGTGTGTGTGTTGAGGATACTATGCTGCTGCTGTTGCTGCTGCTGCTGCTGTTGCGGAGTCTGCTGTTGTGGCTGCTGACTCTGAGTTTGTAACTGCAATTGCAAACATATATGTAAAGAACAAAAACTGAACAGAAAATGTAATTATTGGAACATCTTTGCAAGTCATCTGGTATTTACTTTGATTTCAGGGCCATAAATGAGCACTGAATAACAACTGCTATAAGAATGTCAAGAAACCTAACAAACATTATAACACACTGATTAAACAGATGGACAAACCACTGCAAAACAATTTATAAAGTATTCCGCACTTAACATCCGAACATTTAATGCCAAAACATGAAGCCTTAAAAAAGAAACAGAAACAAAATCAAGCAATGTATACGACATTTTTGGATAAGCTGGAATAAACAAAATTTCTAACAGGAAAGCAATGACTACAAAAAAATATGAATAAAATAAGTACACTGAGAATGCCATTAGAATTACTATGTAAAGGGAAAAGACCTATAAAAGGACTCAGAACAAAATTATTCAGCCAGATACTGGAAAACATCAAGCAGTTTGGGAAGAGCTGGCATCCAAAACTGTGGGATTGCAGAAGAAATTGGAGACTTTTGTCCACTGACCCATAAAAAACAAAAATAATGCAAGAATAAGAAAAGTAAACTAATATTAGTTAATGTATTTATAGTAAGAACATTAAAATTTGCAGTTTATTTCACTTATTTATCTGATATGGTCTTTTATGCTTTAACTAACATGCATGCATGCACAAATTTCCTATACATCTAGGAGGCACCCCCAAAACTATGAGCCAAAGTAACAAACAAGATACCTCAAGTGAGATATATGCCCATTCTTATTAACAAAAGGAGAACTGAAACATCTACATATAAATAATAGCCAGTGCCAGACATACTCGGGGAAAACCCAATGCATTGCTGCTAGGATAAGAGGAAAATTCAAACCATCTTTGTCAGTGCTGGTATATGAGGAGAATATAAACCATTATCTACCACTGTTATGACAGAGGGAAAGAAAAGAAGACAGGATGTACAAATAAGAGAAATGGGAGAAAGAAGTGAAGGAGATAAAAATATGAAAGGCATAGAAAAACAGAAGATTTGGTGTGAAAGAACCACTTAAACAGGGGAGGGAGGAAGAAAGAGAAAGATTAATGACCACAGGATGGACAAATAAAAGGGACTGCAAAGCAATAAAGGAGAAAGAAGAGAACACAAAGACACAAAAGGAACAGAGGAAAGGAAGAAAGAAGTCCTAACAGTTATATAATAGAAAGAAAGTTCTAAGTGCCATCACAACAATTTTAGGAGCAATGGTGACCTGGCATCTGCTATATGAGCAGACCTACCCATGTAATTATTTACTATTTTTTTTAACAATGCTGTCAGTACTGCTAGTTCCTCAGAACTCTAGCCATGGAAGAGGGGTCATACTATCTCTCACGGAGCTGGCGGAGCAGTTTTATCAGCTTATGTCAGCATGGGTACTACCAGTTTGGAATGTAGTGTCTTGGAGTGTGGTTGCACTGTATCAATTCCATAGTATCTATTCCTGGTCTCCATAGGCAATGTTTTCTGCTCGGGGAGGAGCTCTGAATGTCACCACCACAGCAAGCATACAGCTTCACGTGCTCCACAACAGCATTTACCTTTCTGCACGGCTAAAGTTACGAGGCACTAACTATAGCTCAGACTATACACTGTCAAATGACATGATTAGTGAATAATGAATTAGAAAGAATGTGGAAGTAAACAGGCATGGACTAATTTCAGATATTATCCCAGCAAGGACCTGGAGGGACCGAGGAAAACCAAAACAAATCAGTCAAGATAGTCGGTCGCTACACCAAGATTTGAACCTGAGATGGCCCAAATATTCTGATCCAGTTGCCAGTTGAAGCAAAGTGCTGCCCACCCAGCCACAACATCTGGATAAACTTATGTAGTTAATGTTCTTTCTACAAATCAAACATACAGTGAAACAGAGATCCAAAATTGTTTGATTTTCTTAATCAGAATAGTATACACAAATGGAAACTAATTTAGATTACAAATTATGTGAAGTTTCATAACAGAAGAATTACAAATACGTAGAAAGGATAAGAAAAAATTGTGCCACTCAAAAATCAGTATACAAAAATTCATGCCATTCCTGCCAAGCAGAATACATGTTTCATCCTCTCTTCTCTACCACATTTACCATAATATATATATTAGGAATGTTCACAGTCCTGCAGGAAGCACACGAAATTTGCTCTGTCTGTATAAAAGAAAATACCTGAGTAATGCTGAACAGATTTTCATGAAATCTGATTATCATAGAAATTAATAAAATGATGTGTTGACAAGTTTGATTTGTTTCATACTGGTCTGTCACACTAACAATATTATAAAATTTAATTAATTCCATCCAGTGTGACTGATGAAGTTTTATCTTTCTTAATATTTTATCCTTAACATGTTTTGGTCTTACAGACCATCTTCAGAAGGATACCATCTGAAGATGGTCTATAAGACAGAAACATGTTAAGGATGAATATTAAAAAGGAAAAAGACTTCATCAGTCACACTGGATGGAATTAATTAACCTGTGTTGACACATTTCAATCTGGTTAAAACTAAACAAAAATACGAGAAACTTTTACATGGAGACCTTCATATATTTCTGCACATATCTGAAGCATAACTTGCTTAATATTTACTGAGCATGTTTCACAGAAAGTGAACACAGAAAAAAGTAAAACATGTGTTATTTTTATATTATGTCATGTTTTAATCCCCATATTCAGACTCTAGTACAAGAAAAACTGAATTGCAAAGTGCACCATAATGTTTTGGTACCAAAATCAGGCATCAAGTTTGAAAAATAATGCAAAGTTGGGACTATGAATAAAATCGGGATGATCAATACCCCTGTTAACACTCCTTCCATTAAATGTGTGAGAGGTAATATTTCACATTTCTAACCTGCTGAACATACTGAGCTGGAAGCATTACATAACTGCTGGTACCAGAGGGTAAGATGGTGGTCCCTGATGTGATTGGATTCACAGCAGAAGCTGATAACGTAGCAACATTTGATCCAGTGCGAAGCTGAGTAACAGGTGCAGATGCAGGGATTAATATCCTCTGCCCAGTTTGGCCAGCTGACTTTGGTACAACCTTCATTTGGAACAAACAAAGTTATACATAACATTTTCTTTTTGCAGCAAGAAGCACATGGCAATCATTATCAAATTTGTTAAGACAGTATACGGCATCTACCAAAAATACTCAGCATGAGCTTTGTGCATGGGGAGGGGGCAAGTGCCTCCCTTCAGGGAAACATGAAGACCCCCCAGTTCTAGATTGTTCCAGAGACTGCTGAAGGCCAAGGTTAGCTGAGAATCCATGAGAAACTTCTAGAATTATTGCAGCTATAAAAAGTAGTTGCAAAATTCCCACAGAGAATAGCATGAGTAAAGTGATGGCACAGTGTGGATATGTGCATTAATGTGATACAGAGTGTGCTGTGAATTCCGAGCTAATTCACTGAAATATGCATGGCAAGGACAGTGTAGTAGCGTTATGGTAAAATGGTTGTATAAGGTAGAACTAATTAAGACTGTAAGTGGCTACTGTTGGTAAGAGAATAACTGCTTCAAATAATAATAAATGCTACAATACTGTCATGTGTTCAGTGACCAGATAAGGGGTTTTGATTCATCACCATAAATCGTAACTGCAAACAATTATAGCGCTGTGTACGATTTGAGGCTTTCACGGCGGTGACTATGAAGAAAGCAGTCTTCTGGAATTTGGCACCATGTATAAGTGGTGTTAACCGACGTTTCGGAGGAACGTATCGCCTCCATCTTCAGGGTAGAAGATCTGCTTTTACCGTTCTCACGGTCTTGTCGCTTGCAGATTTCTTATACTTTTTCTTCTACCCTGAAGATGGAGGCGATACGTTCCTCCGAAACGTCGGTTAACACCACTTATACACGGTGCCAAATCCCAGAAGACTGCTTTCTTCAATTATAGCGCTATCACTAATTCACACACTTTACAAATCACTATAGCACATACTCACTAGGCAATGCCTGGTAAAGGACCCCAATGGTATCCTCTTCTGTTCACGTCCTTAATGGCTGACACCTACCTCACAGCTCCAAGTGTGTCTTCATCTTCCCAACTGCCTGAATGGTTGTTTAAAGTGCTGCTGACCTTCGCCAGCACAGTCATTCCTGGCTTCAGTCACCTCAAGATCCATGATTTTTCTCTCCTAGGCATGTACATGCTTTGAAAAGGGGCCTCCTCTTTGACAAGAGGTCAGCCTTTCTACGAAGGTGCTACATTTGTTGCACCAAACTTCAGCATGAGTATATTCACGCTGTCATGGCATCCAGGTCAATATGAACTCTGTGCACCCTTTGTCACTGCACTGAACTAAGTAACATTTATACAAGCTATACAAAGGTCTTTTGTGAATCTAGGTATGTGCAACAGGTTATGGCTTCACTCATGTAACTCCTCTGAAATTCTGAGAGTCAGAGTTATTTTGTGACTGGTGGTTTACCACCAATCAGTTCGTCTTGGCACCAAGCCCCTTGACGATCACAACCAGAGATTTTCTTTTTCTTTTTCAACTGAAACCTTGCAGGCATAGTCCTTATATAACAGCCTCTCTGAAGAGAGGATAGATTTTTCTCTTATGATTGTGCTTTGCCTTGTTAAGCGTACATATCATACTTATAACATGTTATTGAAAATTCTTCCTTTTGCACCACATACAAGTCCTCTGTCAGTCCAGACTTTTGCAAAGATGATCATGCCTCTCATACATATCTTATGCCACAATGGCAGCTTATCCACTGGAACGGTCATAAGCTTCACCACCATCAAGTTCAAGCCTCTTATATTTTCTATGTTTGGCTTCACCTTGTCCTGCACTGTGAACATCTTCATTCTCATGATTTTGTACGACTTCTACTTGTTCCCTGCATAATTCTGTTATATAATCGTATACATAGGAAGGTTGAAAGCTGTGTGCAAATCACGGACCGATGTGCACCTTAGAAAATTTCCAAAGCTGTAGAGAACCTTGTTTTGTATGAGATGCTATTTTAAGATGTAGGTGTCTGCCACTAATTCCTAGGCTGGAAAGTCATTACTGATTTGATCAGTGTCTTATGGAGGGTTAATTTAATGCTGGCACTTAAATGTTCACATCTGAATATGTAGTAGATTCTAATACATGTTCTGAAGCCCTTGGCTTCAATCATTTCTACGTGCAGTTTCCATATAATCCTCTTATCGAAGATTACACCAAGACATTTTACATGACTGACAAAGAGGATATTCCGTCAATTCAATGTAAGATGAGTCTCTATGAAAAAAGGAGATGGCCTGAGTCTTAATTTCATCGATTTTTATGTTCCAGTGCTTAATATATTGTCAAGTGTTGGGTGTGTCACGCGACAAATAACTCCACGTGGATCTTGGATTTAGCGACTCTGTATTGGACGCTCACACTTACACACCATATAATTATTATCGCTTGTGGTATCACGTGAGCGATGTCTCGACTAGGTTCCAACGGTACTGTATGAAGGCTAGGTTCCAACTGCGTTGTATGAAGGCTAATTAGCTCTGTCATTCTCGGCTTATGTAGGTGTGCTGCGGACCAGATACGAGACACCATTCGCCAAGGCTCGATCTCACATGTTTGGCAATCCTTTGCTTCAGGAACACTTTACACACTGGTAACGTGTTTCGTCCCATCCGTTGTTACTCAATGGCCTTCTGTTGTTCATCTCTGAGGGAACGCGTTCGTTGTTTCGGCATTGTCTAGGCAACGGCTTGCTGTTATTGCGTTACCATGGAAGTATCTACTCCAAACACGTTACATTGCTCCCTTCTATGGGTTGTTCGTCCCGAACAGCCTAATGCTGCATCCTTGGTTTCGTTTCCTAAGGTGTTCATCTTCTGCATGTTACCTCCGCCTCTTCTTCGGTGTTTTGCCGTCCTTCCATCTGCCCCCCTTCTTCCAGATTGCTCTCCCCGAGCACTTCAAAGGTCCAGCGGTTGTCGGTTCCATGGTCTCACATTCATTCTTCACTTTCATTCTTTCTTCATTTACTCTTGCTAGGGAGGCCGGTGCTTCTACATTACCGGTTCCTCCCATACAGGCTGTTTCCTTTCTTTCATTTTGGAGGGGGTCGGCCCCTCCAGTGTCCAGTTTTGATGTCCGTATTTGTTGCGATTCCGTGTAGCATGCCTGCTTGTGCACTTGCACATGCCTTGAATTGCTTTCTTAAGCTCCTTATTGTCTCACTCTCAATCTTGAGTTGTTCTACATCCTTTCCTTTCACGACGGATTTTTCTGTTGTCCTCCAGTGTTCAAGTTCTTCTCATCTCCTTTTTGACACATCCTTATGTGGGCTTGTGCATGACTCAAACTGATCTCCCTGAGATCTGGGTCTCTTGTGCTGTGCCACATTTGCGTAGTGGGTCATCATCTTGTCAGCCATGACCAGTCGTTTCCTCGGGAGTCCACCAGCTCCCCGAGTAAGATTCGTGCTACTGTTGCACGACAAGACATCCTCTTGTCTACTGGCATTCTCTATGCCACTTTCTCACGGCGTGTTGTCCCTCTGCGGGTGATGGCCAATTCCTTCTGGGGTTCATGATTTTTCCATGTTGAGTCCTTCGGTTTCTGGCGGCAACGCTCCGCGGCCATTTTTCGGTCCCTGTGCCTTTTCTTCTTCGGTTCTCCAACCGGCATTACTTCAGCGTCTTTTGCGGGGACCTCTCGTTGTTCTGCCGCCTCATGTTTCTTGCCCAGTGAGGTCGGCTTTTTCTCATCTCGACGTGCCTCCATTTCTTGGTAGGCCAACGTCTCATCATGCTTTCATTTCATGTGTGGCGTCCGCCTTTTCTTGCATGACCCACAGGAATTCCATTATTTGTTGAGAATCCATTTTTTTTTTGTGCACTGTTTTTGTGTTTAAGTTCGATCCTGTTGGTCACATGTGTAAGTCCAATCCTTTAACTTCGTCTCAGAGAATCCGAACTGATCCTGCTTCTAACACGAGTTGTCACGTGTTGGGTGTGTCACGTGACAAATAACTCCACGTGGGTCTCGGATTTAGCGACTCTTTATTGGACACTCACATTTATACACCATACAATTATTATCGCTTGTGGTATCACGTGACTTCTGCAACATCTCGACTAGGTTCCAACTGCGCTGTATGAAGGCTAATTAGCTCTGTCGTTCTCAGCTTATGTAGGTGTTCTGCGGACTGGATATGAGACACCATTCACCAAGGCTCAATCTCACATGTTCAGCAATCCATTGCTTTAGGAACACTCTTTACACGCTGGTAACGTGTTTTGTCCCATCCATTGTTACTCAACGGCCTTCTGTTGTTCATCTCTGGGGGAACGCGTTCGTTGTTTCGGCACTCTCTACACAACGGCTCACTGTTATTGCGTTACCATGGAAGTATCTACTCCAAACGTGTTACAATATTATATTTAAGCATCCTGTTACACTATACACTTCTATATGTAACAATACAAATACCGTTGTGAATGCAACAATTTATTTGGTTGTAGATCTTTGACTTTTCTTCCTCTACAATACATGTTTTGGCTGTAATTGGCCATCATCAAGTGTATTTTTCACTATGTAGCTGTCACACTGCACACAATCCAAAATCTAAAATATCAGCCTGTCGGTTTTGCTTTAAAATCTCGCCAACACGCGCTCGTCAATTTGATTTTAGAATTAAAGTTTAAAATTTCTAAAATTTAAAGTTTTAAATACGAGGGACACACACACAGGGAGCCTGCACAGAATAATACATGAATGGTGCTGAAAACAAGAAATAGCCGCTGCAGCACATGTAGACAAGAGCAGGTGCCCCTGGTATTTAAAACTTTAAATTTTAGAAATTTTACATTTTAAACTGTAATTCTAAAATCAAATTGATGAGCGTGTGTTGGCGAGATTTTAAAACAAAACTGACAGGCTGATGTTTTAGGTTTTGGACTGTGTGCAGTGTGACAGCTATGTAGTGAAAAATAACCTGATGATGGCCAATTATGGCCGAAACATGTAGTGTAGAGGGAGAAAAGAGAAAGATCTATAACCAAATAAATTGTTGCATTCACAACAGCATTTGTATTATTACATATTCCAGTGCTTAAACTACATCTCAATAGCCTGAGACTTCACTGCAGCTTTCTGAAAACATAATCCTCTTTGCAGTCTGTTGCGTATATACAGGTGTCATCAGCAAAGAGACCTAGTGACCATTAGCTTGTCTTCTTCTGATACAGTTTCACTGAGCTCCGTCATGATCAGTTGCACTACAGTGGCTACTTTTATGTGTCACTGTTAGTCGAAATGGAAGCCTGTACTGATACACCTGTTTTCTGAATTTCCTGTTTTTGCACACGCTGCTGCATGGGCTGCCGCAAGCTTTTCCCATCTGTCTGTGGAGCATGTGGCTGCTGGTGTTGAGTGTCTAGACACAGTATATCTGCATAGGACCACTCTGGTAAGGTGAACTTAAAGAAGAACGTCCTCCTAGAGGATTTCTTGGGAGCCTGTTGTGCTCTTCTCCTCCTTTCACATGGCTGCAGCCTCGATATGATGCTTCTCTCCTTCTGCTAGGATGCAATTGCAGCAGCTTGGCATAGATTCTGTATTCGGCTTTTCAGGGCATTCCTTATGCTAGTGACCACCAATGCACCACAGACATCAAGGTGACTGATTGCAGTTGACCCAGACTTGGCCAAAGTGTTGGCAGTTGTAGCACTGCATAAGGTGAGTTTGAGTTCGTATAACTCTATCTTAATAATAATATGGCTAAGGCCATTCAGCTTGTATTTCATTTGAGATCTTATGTTTCTTGTTAAGGTAACAAGGAAGAAAGGGAGGTTTTCCATGTGGGTTTGTCCACTGGGTGCCTTTCAAGTGGCCATCATTTCTCTCATGTTGATGATGTTGAAGCTTAAGTCCTCAAGGCTGTTGGAAATATCTTCTGCTGGCATGTCTGGGGGGAAAGGTGAAATGGTGGAGATAATTTTTTTCCAGGTAGGATTTCATGGCTGAATAGTCTGCCACTTCTTTTGTTAAGATATGAGTTCCATTTCATGTATTTCAGAACTCATACACTCTCCTCTGACATGTTCTTTTTTGTCACTCTGGAGTTGAATGAGGTTTGTGGTAGAAGTCATCACTATTATTTTCTGGGGACCTCCTGCTTCAATAGTGTGTGTTCTCTGCTCCAGTAGTCTCCATGTCCATGTCAGTAGTTCTAAGATGCTCAAAGAAGTTGTGAGTTAAAATTGCTTTGGGAAGCAGCTTGACAGCTACAGATTTTGGGGCTTGTTTAGTTGAATTACTGGCTTTCTGTGAGGTATCATTAGAGATATCCCTCTTGCGTCTCTTTACTTCCAAGGAGTCGTCACCTTGGGCCACTGATTCAACTGAGGTTTTGTTTACTGCACCACTCTGTCCTGCCTGTGCACTCACTTTAAGGACAGCCTTCACTTCATTCAGTGTTACCATGTACATGACATAAAGAGCATTAAAAAGCTGCTTCCCATCTACAGCTTTGCACTATTCACAATAGAAGTACATTCAGAGCTTCCCCCACTTTAGCTGTTATGCATCCAGCAAGGATCTCAATGTCACTGAATACTTTATGTACTTGTTGTACAACAGCAGCTGCATCTGGGTATTTGTTTGTGATGACATGAGATTCAGAAAACACCATTTCCAGCAGTTCCTCTATTGTAGCATGCATATCTGTTGCTGCAGTACAGTGTTTTGGCTGCCATGGAAATGTGGTTACAGGCCATTCCTTGGCAACAGCTGCCCCTTCTGGTTTCCAGCCATGTTACAACACTGTTACGAATTTTAGCCCTTTTATCTACATGACTGAAATCTTGTTTGTCTTCTTTCATAAAGTAGTGCATACACCTCAATTTCACTGTTTCTCAGTTCACAGAAATGTCTCAGGCATATTCTGCATATAGAGATTTTGTAGAAATTTTATATGGAGCATGTTTACTATAATTCAGCACCATATGACATTTTTGCATCATATCAGTCAAAATATCCATTTTATTGTCGCGTGACCTACCCAATACGTGACAATTTGGTGTCAGAAGTGTCTACAAACTTAAACACACTTCACTCTAGGAAGAATTATTGAATTCAGAAGTACATCGAGTGTTATCCTGCCAAAAAGAGAATGGAGAAGCAAGAGATGCAACGAATAATCGTAATGCTGGCAAAATTAGATGCCAACCAAGAAAAGGCAGCAGCTGATAGGAAGGCTGACAAGGAAGAAATGGAGGCCGATATAAAAGCCTGGCGAGAAAAGACTGCCACAGAAACGGAAGCGATCAAAGTAACGACGAAGGCCATGCGAGAAAATATGGGCACCAGCCACAAGGAGATGGTGGCTGAAATCAAACCTGAAATGGACGTAAAGTCGATGGCCTGCCAAGAAACGACTGAGGCGCATCTAGAAGGAAAAGAGAAAATGGCCTGCCCAGAAAAGATGGAGAGAAAGAGCCAACCTCAATGGAAACGAAACCTGAGGTGGCCCAACAACGAGAAGTCCCCATAGAAGACACCAAAGTGAAACCGGTCAAAGGACGGATGAGGCGCTATAGGGGCAAGAAGCAAGCTGCAGAGCAATGCGAGGAACCAAAGGAACTGACCCGAGGAGATTGTGAATCCCGGATGAAGTTGGCTGCCACCTGCAGGAAGGTGTGCATGCGCCAGAGTGAATGGAAACAGGATAAGTTTTTGTGAAACTGCAGATGGCAGTAGTGGTGAGATTGTAAATTGTGTAATTGTGAGAGTGAGTGTTCAATACATTCGCTATATCAAATAATTAGAATTTAGAAATCCAAATTTTTTAAAAATCTTGTTAACCCATAGGTTTACGCAGATAAAAAATCACTAACCAAACTAAGTCACATTTCACCAAAAAGTTCATGAAAAACAGAGAACAGAGAAAAACATTATAAGCCCACAGGTTAAAGGTATACTAAGCTCAAAAATATTTCAGACACAAGTAGAGAATTCAATAAGATAATATTTCTTTTAAACAATACAGTATGCTGAGAAAATGGCCATCAAACAATCCTTGAATTCTTTGAATATGAAATGACCTAGTATGTGTTGCACATCTTCCAACAAGTCTTCAGTCCTTGCTTATTACTGTGATTATACTTCCACGTTATTACACTGTCCTCCATGATTGCACAAGCCATAAATGATGTAGTAATACACGAGATGTGTAATGGTCACGTGAAGTGAGTTGGGAGGGTAAGCAACCATATCCTGTCCGTAGGTATTATTTAAGTAATCACCAAAAGTCAGTGTTCTTACAAAAAGTCAGACTGGACACATCACAACACAAGACAGATGCATAACTGCAAATTTTTCACCTGTGTAAGACACACGTAACAGGAGGATGATTTTGTACTGTCATTCATCTATCTCATAATGATATTTTTCAGTAAATTTCTAATATGTAGTACAGCTTACTACATCAAAATTTTTTGAAAACAAGAACAATCATACAGAGTATTAGATATTTATTAGTAAAATGAATATACAATAAATCTATAAATCTTACTGTACGAATGGCTGGAGTAGCAGGGGCTATTGGCACCATTTTGAGAGTTTGTTGTTGAGTTCGCATAGCAGCCAGAGCAATGGGCTTGCCTCCACTAAGAGCACTTACTGGTACAACAGCTGCAGTACGAGATTTTCCTGTACTCATAACCGTTGAAGTGTTACTTCCAGAGGAACTTACCAGTCGCACATACTGTAACTGTAAAAGATCATATCAATGTAGTCATTCAAATGGGCTTCCAAATCTCTAAAATTTAACAATCTGATACAAGCCAAATTATGTCTAAAATTAAAATATCCCAAATTCTCCCATTTGAGAGTGATGTGCCTCTTTCACTATAACAACCCTCTAACTCATTTTATTGTTGCTCCAACATTATTTCCATTAGCATGACACTCCTAAGCTAACAATAAACACTACACAAAAATATAAATACCCTATGACAGTGGTTCTCAATCTTTGTCAGACCTCGGTCCAATAAATTCTTTTTTCTAAAAGATGAGGGCCTGGCATTATTGATGCTAGGGCCCAGCGGTTGAGAAACACTGCTCTATGAGACATCAGATGTCAAGTTTCATTAACCCTTCACCACTGGTGGGCATTTAAATTCCTACTCAACCCCTATGCCACAGGATATTAAAATACGTAAATTAGACAGTGCAACAGTGTAATAAATGGGGAAAAACTGGAGTTTTGTTTTTCTAATTTTCACACTTACTTACTTACTTATGGAGCTGAGCCCTTCTTGAGGAGAAACCAAATCTGCAGCTACTCAAGAATTTCCCAGCATTTTATGGAACCAAAAGGTTCATTACTGTGTTCATAAGAGCCCTCCACTGTTCCTTATCCTGAGCCAGACCAATCCAATCCATACCATCCCATCCTATCCTCTAAGATCCATTTTAACCTTTATCAGACGAACGTCATCATATGATGTCGTTAAAAGTTAGGGCAGCTGGCCGAACGTCATCATATGATGTCGCGGATTCCACGCATGTAAGGTTTTTTTTAATATTATATTAAAAATATAAATTGTTGTTCTATTTACATGATTTTTGGTCACCACCTTTATAAGGAGACAGCCTTCGTTCCTGCATGATCTAATGTAATCTAGGGACGTCATATGACGTTAAAAGTAAGGACAAATTTAAGAACGACATCATATGATGTCGCGCATTCCACGCGTGTAAAGATTTTTTTAAAATTAAATTTAAAATATAAATTGTTCTTCTATTTACATAATTTTTGGTCACAACCTTTATAAGGTGACAGCCTTCCCTCCTGCGTGATCTAATGTAATCTACCGACGTCATATGGCCGAACGACCTCATATGATTTCGCGCATTGCACGCGTGTAAAGATTTTTTTAAAATTAAATTTTTGCTCTACTTACGTGATATATGTTCACCATCTTCATGAGGAAACAGCCTTCCCCCCTGCGTCATCTATGGTAATGTGGCCTTCGTATGGTACTGCCGAAAAAATTCCGAAATGCAGAGTCCGACGTCGCAGCTCACGCACTTCGTACGAACGCTAGACCGCTTCCCACGCGAAAAGCACACACGACACCTCAGTTGCGATTTAGAGGAAGCAGGCCAGTGATGTCGAGCTGCAGTGATATTTATCCCCGCAGCTACACCGGAATAATTATTCACACCTCTCCAGCCACACTGGTCTGGCGGTCCCCAAGTTGCCGACGAAGGTGATGACCCGTCGTCCGCGGAATCAGAATTCCAACTTTGCTCGCCCCTATCATAATCTGTGTCATTGAATAGCTCTTTCTCAATTTCAGGCATCAGAAGACCAACCTTCCACGCCACATTCAGAATCGGTTGAATAGCAGTCCGAATCTGTGTCATTGAACAGCTGTTTCTCATTTCAGCATTTTCCATACGACGTCGTCGTGTATACGGCTCTCTAGCAGTGCTAGCAGTGAATCTCTGTGCTTAGACCACGATAAGAAGCCATAAATCTTAACCTCGAGCCCACACATACAAAAATCTCATTCACGACTTCTCTGAACCCAATATCTGCTTCATGATGTCATGGGTGGCTAACCTTATATTGCGATGTTTCAAAATCGTTACAAACACAATGGTTTGACTGCAATGAATGAACGAATGACCGATCTGGCAACACCATATTCCGAGAATTAACTCCTGTGTTTATCTAACACATTACGCAGTGAGGAATTTCAGACGCATACAGTCGTGCATAGCGACATGTCCCATACGATAAATAAGCTACAACAAGAGATACCATTGAATGTGAAGTCGCCACAAGGACTTACACTGCTAAAACGCATGGTGCAGAAAATGTATTACACTGCTAGAACGCATGGTGCAGAAAATGTATGAATTTCGGGAAATTTTATTTTGGGAATCAGTGTAAAATTTTTTTACAGATATTAAAATCTGTAAATTAGAATATCTGATTCTATATTCTTACTACATTAAAGGCGCGTTCATTTCGTTCGTTTATCATAAAAAATGTAGAAATCACACCATTTTTAGAAACATGCTTACAATTTCATTGCTCTAGAAGGGCGGGCATTTAAATAAACTCCATCCAGCTGCCCCTACCGGAAATTAAATGGCCCGTCCGATAAAGGTTAATATTGTCCACCCACCTACACCTTGGTCTTCCCAGTGATCTCTTTCCTTCTGGCTTTCCCACCAATATCCTATATGCATTCCTTTTCTCCCCCATTTGTGTTATATGCCCTGCCCACCTCATCCTCCTTGACTTGATCATTGTAATTATACTTGGACGGTTTATTACAGATTGTATAGTTAGATCCCTTAATAAGAATGAACAGCCTACCCCATATCTTCTTGTGGTAGAGCAATTTGAAACCACAAATAGCTCCAAAGTTTCCAAATTTTTTATCAATTCCATGAATTTACTATGGCTGAATGGCATTTGGTATGAGCGCATATTGCTCTCTGTGACTGATGCCACAAGTTATATGATGATAGCCAGTACTGCTCTTAAGTTATATCTCCAAATGTGATACATTTGCCTTGCCTTGCCCATTTAAATTTAAATTGAAGATTTTAAAAATACCAAAAACTCAAAAATCAAATTGACGTATGTAAATTAACAAAGATTTTATACATATCTGACAAATATCAGCAAGGGGATTCTGATATATCAGGACCTATTAACAACAGAGAAATGAACAATCAAGAAAGCTGGTGTTTTTAGATTTTAAACTATGTGCAATGTAACAGCTACATGAGAAAAATACACCTGATGATGGCCATTTATGGCCGAAACATGTAGTGTAGAAGAAAAGAAGACAAAAGAACAACAATAAATTGTTGCACTTAGGAAGGAGTTTGTGTCATACAACATGCTTACAATTTTTAATACTCTACAATGGCGGACATTTAAATTAACTCCAGCCTGCTGCCATTATGGGGATTTAAATGGCCCATCTCTCAACACATTGCGGACTGGCGATTTAAATATTTAAATCACCCTGGGGCCGCCATCATTAAACCTACTATCCTAACTTGTGCACTGTTCACTTTAAAAATTAATATAAAATCTCCTAATTAATTTTATGAACTAAAATCTTTGGACAACACTTAACAATGCTCTTAGAAGTGCTTGAGGGTGTGATATTCCTGGAAACATTCCCATTTGTGAAGTGGCATTACACAGAACTTGCAAATGTAGACATACTTCTTTTTTTGTGAACTGTGCAAACACGGCATTGCCTAAAAGGATGCTTCCCCTTGGATTGTTCACTCTTCACAATTTCCATGAGGATATGTTTCCACGTATCACCCACGAGTCGCCCTGGGGGGTCCACATGAGGCCTGCATGGGGTGGGAGTTGATGGGCCTGGTCACACTAAGTCTGTGTCTGACTATGGTTCTGCTGCCACCATCTGGTCTGTAGCCCAGGCCTTTGCCACATTCATCAGAAATGCTTTGTATTTCAATTTTGAATCAGGGTTTAGATTTTTGGGATTTCTTTTAGATTTTTTACTGTCCCCGCAATGTTACTACCCTCCTTATCGTCGGAGCTACTGTCACTTTTACTGTCTGTGGTCACAATTCTTTGTTCAACCCTGTCACTGCCGCTCTCTGAATCACCGTTACTACGTGTCTCACAAGCCAGGTCAGCTAGCTCATCGGAGAAGAATTTGTCCTTGTCCATACCCCACCACTAACTACTGGCTGGTACATACAGCTCGAAGAGCAGCAAAGCATTTTTGTTTATAGTGCGTTAAGAAAACAGCGAGGTCAAGTTACTGACAAGTAACCAAACATTCCAGGGTTTTATTACGCCATTGGGTGCAACGTGGGTGGCGCCAGAGCAAGGTATAGCGTGTTACAACCTAACGTGTCCTAAAATCATGATATCATGCGACAGGTCTGCCACGTTTAAAAGCCAAAAGCATGATATCATGCGACCAGTCCTCAATGTGTTAAAGGTTAAGGGACAATAGGAAGCGACTAACTATGGAAAACCTAAAACATTTAGTAACTGTGAACTGCAACAGAAGAGAAATTGAAAGTTCGAAGAGCTAAATGTGAGTACCATTCAATTTTTAAATTTGTAATGAAATATGTTGGCTTTGTTGCATGAAATGTATTTAAATATAAAGGGTGTTTCACTTGGGGCGGAACCCGGCATTTCGTTAATAACTCGGATACTAATATAGATATTGCAACGAAATTTGGAGTGGACTTACCTCAGTTCATGTGAAGTCTGGTGACATCACAACAAGTGCTGGAAATGGCCACCATTTGCGTCCAGCCAGCACTGGACTCGCCGCGCCATGTTTTGGAAAGTCCTTGCCCATACGTCAGGTGTCACTTCTTGGATGGCCTCACTTATGTTTGCTTTTAAAGCCTCTATGGTTCGCGGTTTGTTGGCATAAACTTGCGCTTTCAAATGTCCCCACAAAAAATAATCAGGCGGCGTTAAATCGGGCGAGCACGGTGGCCAAAGTCCCCTGGAAATGACGCAGTCGCCAAAAAAAGACTGGATTTCGGCCATGTGTGCTGTTGCTCCATCCTGCTGGAAAATAACCGATGGATAATTCCTCATCGTCCAGTTGATTCACAAAGCTGTGGAAGATATCTAGGTATGCTGCTGCTGTGATGGTCGTGTCGAAGAAAATGGGTCTGGGTCTGTAACCATTGATAATACACCACTCTCTTCGCGTAATCTGGCTCTTTAAACTCGTGCACCATGGAGACTCAGTATGCATGAAGCTTAGATTTCTTCGCAGCACGATAGCAAGTGCCTGTTGAAAGACCTGATTCCTGTGAAACTCGGCGCAATGACTTCTTAGGAGACGCCAGCAGTCGGGCCTTCACATCCTGGATCGTTTCCGCTGACATTGCTGGACGACCTCTTGTGTGCTGATCCAAAATTGTCGCCTTGGTTCCAAGTTTTTTGGACAAGGCCCAAATTCTGGACTTACTCGGTGGAACTCTGCCTCCAAACTTCACCAGGAATTGTTGTTGACATGCCTTGATGGATTCTGTTTTCCAATATGCGCGCACAATAAACACTCGCTGCTCCAGGGTGCACCGATCCATTTTTCCATTGTGTATGCACTTCACTTCACACTGGTGAACAACACTCGAGAAGAACAACCGCACTGCCTAAACACCCTCAGCCAAAAGCGAAAAACAAATGAGACCAGCAGAGGCAAGTACGCAGGGGCTAGACTGGCGCGACACATCGAGTCCAATGCTGTCTGGACGCAAATGGTGGCCATTTCCAGCACTTGTTGTGATGTCACCAGACTTCACATGAACTGAGGTAAGTCCACTCCAAATTTCATTGCAATATCTTTATTAGTATCCAAGTTATTAACGAAATGCCGGGTTCCGCCCCGAGTGAAACACCCTTTAGCTTTCATTGCAAGTGAATCATTCAGTGATTACATAAAATGAATTTAAATATAGATTTGTTGGTCTTATAATAATGTAAAATCAATTTTAATATTTGGTATAAATTTTTATGTTTATATTTCGGAAATTTTTCATGCATAAATGCATACATATTTAAGGGATCATTAGGGCATAAAAATCCGGTCCCTAGTCATGACACAACACAGCTGGCCGCTGTGTTCTTCTGGCCTTGGCTAACCAGACTGCATGATGCATATTTATAGAACAAAGGGGAATTACAGTGTTATCATTCACAATAGTGAACTGTTTGTCATTTGTTATGTAGCAGTCATAACACTTCTAGAGTCAACAACATGTCTCAAATTCGTAGATTTTCCATGTGTCTTCTCATCATTACAAATACCAATGTTAAAGCAGCACTGATCAGAATATGCCTTATGGGAATCGACTTTTCATTTGATCAGGATTAAGAACACCACACAGTGTTGATCTAACATATTTAGTTCATAAGAATTCCCCTAGGCAGTGGAAGGTTTCTATGGTAACAAGTGCACCATGTACTGAAATAGAAAACTATTTCGAAGAATTCAAATGTATTACAACTTCCACAAGAAGTTCAAAGTGGGACAATGTATATACGAAATGATAGCCTGAAATGTCCTCTTTAATTTCATACCAAAATAATTACTCTATGTGAAAAACAATGGTTCAAAATATGAGCTGAAACTTAGAGCTGCAATATGCATGCAGGTTATGGAGCCCGGCAACATGTGACAGAAGCTGCTGGTGTGCCAGATATGGAGCCCGGTACTGAAGGGTTAATATACACAGTGTACCAATCAAAAATTTATGAAAACAATTAACTTATCATATGCCCGAATTATTTCAAGATGAGTGCAGAGGGCAACTTATGGAAATTTAGTGCTATTCACATTCATACCATTTACACAATAAAAAGTTTATAACTATATTGTTAATATTTTACACGTTTTTCAATTTGCTAATAACTACAATATTCTCACCAGTAACATCAGCACTACTAAGTAAAGTGCTGTCGCATTTTATGTGACGGTGCATTTCTGAAGACTTTGCATAATACAAGTTTTGAAACATAAATATGATTCTTGCTAATTTTGGAGGGATTTGAATTATTTCAAACATTGTGCATAAAGTGACACTTTATTACTGTTTTTTATATCACACTATTTCAAATTTGCATAGTTCAAATTCAGATAATATGTGACTGCACTCTATGGCCTCATATGGATTTGAAGTTCTCACAGCAGCAATTATGAAGAGTTCTATGAGTATCTTCTGGGATATAATGCTGTATAGTCTGTTTAAAGTCAGCCAATGTTTTGCAGGAACATGTTGCCTCTATTTCATGGCTGAAGAAGAAGCCAAGCAAGAAACAAGTATGATGCAGGTAGCAAGCAGAACTCTGCTTCCTACTTGCATGGTGGGGTGTATGGGGAATATGCAACAATGCTTAAATGGTAAGAATTTGTGCCTTGACTTGGTAGAGTCATTCCCCACATAACTGCACGTGATCAGAATGGTGCAAATAAGGATGGCTAAGCAAAATTATTAAAGTAAGCCAGAAGGCAGAAGAAAAGTTTTAAAAACCAGAATGAGATGGCTGGAAGTTTCAAGAATGAGTTATGAGAGATAAAAGTGAAAAAGGAGATAAAAGGCAAATATTAGAGATGACAAGGCATCTGTTCTACAGGAGATCAAGATTCTTAGGATACTGTAGAGCCAAAGAGCAACAGCAGACTTCCCAAAATAACAAAACTGTACCTGTCTTCCACCTGGTATCTGAAGCTGAGCTATACTGCCAGAAGTTCCCACTGCATTCTGAGTGGCTGGTATTCTTATCACCTGCCCAGTTGCAGACGATGATGTCAAAATTGTACCCGGTTTCAAAGAACCCTGTAGAACGAGAAACATGAAAACAGAATTATTTATCAAAAGTACAAACCTAATTAGGGAATATTTTTTCCTGTAACATTTTAATGTACCATTTGCAAAACTAGGAAGCTTCATTGAACAATAAAAGCAATATAATATGGTAAGATCTTTTGTTCAAGGGATAAACAGGAGTTTTGCCATCTCAAAACACGTCTCCCCTAGAGCAGAGATGATACGATGTTAAAGCAATTCCACATCACTTACTGTTAAAAATTCATAATATATACTACATGTAACAGTGATGTTACTTTAATCTACTTACACTGTAGATACAATGACATCAGAAGTGGAGAAATGTGTAAACAAGACACTCTTAAATCAAGTTATGAATTGATACTAATTTCCGTAATAATAAAAATAATAAAAATACTAATTCTGTATAGATGGGATTAATTATTTGCATTGCTGGACCCAACTAAAACATGTGGATTTTGGAAATTAAATTAATGTACGGTTTATTTCATCAGTATCACTGTATAACTTTCTCACCTGTCGAATAATGACTTTCTGAGGACTGAGCACTGGCTTCACAGTTGTAGTAACAGTCCCACCGATTCCACCTATAGCTGATGCTATAGAAACTGCTGACTTCAGCTGTGTCACACCACTCACAGGAGCTGGAAGTATCTTTGTAGGAGATTTCACAACAGATGAGGCAGGCATCATTATTTTTGTTGGTGACTTCACAGGAGAAGACATGAGTTTGTTTACAATAATACTCTGCAAGGACACATACAAACAATTTATTTAAAATGTTGCACTTCACATCATAAAGGAAACTGCATATAACAAAATCACTAACTTGTTTGGCTGGAGATGATGGTAAAATCTGTTGAAGTTTGGTTGGTGATAGAAGACCCATTTGTTGAGCTTGAGCTAATGTGATTGCCTTTGTTGGGCTACTTAGAAGAGAAACATTACTTTGGCCAGTTCCACCACTGATGATCTTAATTGGCTGACCACTGCAAAATGTATCTGCAGCTTGGGATGCTGCCAGCATGATGGGCTGTCCCTGCTGACCCTGCTGATTCCCAGTAATAATTACTTTTGCAAAGACCTTAAACAAGAGAGAGATAAAAAATTATATTTAATGACCTTAACTTACTTCAATTGCACAGCAAAGAATATGATAGCATATTCTACAAGTCTTTATCCAGGCCCATTTATCATTTGTCAAAGTAAATACTATTAACCCATTAAAATAGTCCATTAAACTTCATGGTTTGCTAAAAGAAAGATAAAAAATACCATGCTGAAAATACATATCCTTATACAAATTGATGTAGGGTAAAGCAATTTAATTTTCTTACCCTTCGCTAAATAAATTCTCCAGAACAGAAAGCCATTCACATTAAATGGGGGGGGGGGGAATTACACTTCACTGAGGAGGAAAAAACACTTCTTGTGGATATGGGCAATTAAAATTTTCATGCAAGTGCCCAGCACTTGCCAAAATTCCACAATTTTATTTTATATAAAGAGTCTGTCAAATTCGGTTTTAGCATGGATGCAAGATTCAACGAAACACAATGCACTTGCCAAAATTCCACAATTTTATTTTATATAAAGAGTCTGTCAAATTCGGTTTTAGCATGGATGCAAGATTCAACGAAACACAATGCACTTGCCAAAATTCCACAATTTTATTTTATATAAAGAGTCTGTCAAATTCAGTTTTAGCATTAATGCAAGATTCAATGAAAAATATACATGAGTCAGTTTTGTTTCAAACATTTGTATACTTCATATCAAAACAAAGTTTCAAATATATTATAATATGTTCTATACAGGAGTAACTTAAAAATAAAATCCAGTATACTGTTTTGAGCTCCTAAGATCAAAGGTATATTCCTTGTCTGGGTTTGATATGTTATGTGCAGTCAATGTGTAGTTGGCTACCACCTAAGGGAACAGACTAATCCTTCCTTCAGGATACCAGACATCTCATGATTTACATAAATACGATGAGTTCAGCATCAAATTGAAAAATAATCTGTTTGCAGTGTACTGCTATATGCAACTGGTTTCAGTACCAGCTTTACGTTTGGCCCCTAAAAATGTTGACTAGCCCCAAAAGCTTTAGTGTAACAGTCTTGGTTAATTCTTTTCATAGCATATTTATGTTACTAACAACTGACAAACTTATTATTAAAAATGCGCATCCTTCATAACAAAAGGTCTATAAGTAATGGGGGAAGAAATTGTTTGTCACTAAAATAAGCAAGAAAAGGATACATAGTTACAGTTGCAAAGGCCAACACAAACAATGACACAACACAAAAGGTTGCACTTTAGTGACATCATTATTCTGCATTTAATGTATCAAGCTAGAATCCAACTATCCCTAACATAGTTTCTCATGTTCCTCCTCAGTTTCTTCAAGCAAAGGGTGAAAAATAGTTTAGGCTATAAACTCTTCTATTCAGTTCATACAAAGGTTGTTCACATGGTAAAAGAAGTGCACTTACAGCACTGCTAATATACTTAATTGTCCAAAACAACATTTTCCATTTCAAAGTATCCATCTTGGAATGTAATGCACTTATCCCACTGCTTAATCCAAGATGTGAACATGTGGCCCAAATCATTCTTTGTCAACATCTCTAATTTCCCTCTCAGAGCCTTAATGCATGTTTCAGTCAACAGGAAATGCCTGCTCCTGACATCATCTTTCAGTTCTGGAAAAAGCCAGAAGTTGCAAAGGTACCAGACATAGACTGCAGGTCTGATGCTTTCTTCAGGCAGAAAATTGGAAACAATTTAAGGGCATCATTATCCTGATGAAGGAGAATGTGTTTGCTGTTTTTGTGTGCAAATCTGCATATCCACAAAATGTTTGCACAATATGTTCCACTGACAGGGATGTGATGCTACATGTCAGTACAGGATGCCTAAGCAACTGGAAAACATATCAACTTCCTAGTACTTTCTGTTGTTTCTACTTTTTTTTTTTTTTGGGAGGAAAGAAAACTGCAAACTTTTAACTCTTTGCGGATGGTGCACGCATTAATACGTTTTTCGCTTTTAAACATGGCGGACCAGTCGCGTATTAATACATTTTTAGAACACGATAAGTTGCAACACACTATACATCGCTCTGCCGCCACCCGGCTTGCATTAGCTGCCTGCAGCTGCGTGATAGGCCTCTGGAATGTTTGTTGACTAATCACTTATGTGACCTCGCTGTAACTGTATGCCCCTGCAAAGGAAAATAAATGCCTTTATTTCTTCAAGCTGTATGTAGCAAGCTGTCAGTGAGTAGTGCAATATGCGAGCATATAATCCTGGGAAACTTACAAAGTATGGCCTACTTGTTCGTGTAGTTACTGAAAGCACTTCAGGCTATACTGGAAATTTAGAAATTTATTCTGGTGAAGGAAAGAAATTACAAGAAACTATTCTTTCTGTTTTGGAACCCTATCTTGATCAAATTTACCATGCCTATCATGACAATTATTATAACAGTGTGGCAACTGCAGAACACCTACTTTCAAGAAAAGTACATGTTTGTGGAACAATTAGGGTGAACAGAGGCCTTCCTCCAGATCTGAAAGAGGAATGCAAAACTCTGAAACGTGGTGACACCACATTCAGGAGGAAGGGGGATATTCTTCTTCAGTCCTGGAGGGATACTCGTGTTGTGAATATGATTTCCACAATTCACAATTCGAGCATGGTTGATGTTCAAAGGAGACATGGACAGGTAAAGAAGCCTGTTTGTATTTCCAAGTATAATATGTTCATGAAGGGAGCTGATAGAGCCGATCAGTACTTGGCCTATTATTCTCTTCCTCAGAAAACATTAAAGTGGACAAAGAAAGTTGCCTTGTGGCTTATAAATTGTGCCATTTTCAATTCATTTTTGGTTTTCAAAAATCTAAACCCTGATTCAGAATTGAAATACAAGGCATTTCTGCTGAATGTGGCAAAAGCCTGGGCTACAGACCACACGGTGGCGGCAGACACAGTCTTAGTGCGACCGGGCCAGTCTACTCCCACCCCACGCAGGCCTCATGTGGACACCCCCGGGCGACTCTCAGGTGATATGCAGAAACATACCCTCGTGCAAATTGTGAAGAGTGAACATTTCAAGGGGAAGCATCCTTCTGGGAAATGCCGTGTTTGCACAGTTCACAAAAAAAGGATATGACTGTCTACATTTGCAAGTGTGTAATGCCACTTCACAAAGGGGAATGTTTCCAGAAATATCACACTCTCAAGCACTTCTAGGAGCATTTGTAAGCGTTCTCCAAAAATTTTAGTTCATAAAATTAATTACGAGATTTTATATTAATTTTTAAAGTGAACAGTGCACAAGTTAGGGTACTAGGTATAAAAATGCTGGTCCCCAGAGTGATTTAAATATTTAAATCGCCGGTCCGCAAAGTGTTAACTAGCTGCTTTGCTGATTTAAAGCAGGACTGTAATGACACATGAATGATGTGTTGGTTGTAATAATGTTGTGAAGAAACACATTACTAAGTAGTTCAAAATGGGTTTTAACACTCAATGATTAAGTATTCTATTCAATCAGATGTTGAACTGGGAATCCAAAAGCAACACACTAGTTTCATCCTTATGCCGGCATGAAAAACTGCATGTGATTCTTATAAAAATTGACAACATGTTGCTTAGTTTATTAACAGCTTTCTTGTCACTGCAGATGTATTCCCCAGAACTTCATTTGAGGAGGTTGAACATCATGTCAACAGGAACATGATGTCACAGGTGCAGCAAATTCCTACCATATTTGTCTAAATTTAAATTTGGAACAAATACAATTTCTCCAATATTGTCTTGCCTATCTGTATGTGGTTTCACCACCATGTCGAGGAAGATGACACTTTCAAAATCTGGCTATGGCTTAAATAAATCTCTTGTGATTGGTGGGATTTTGAACAATTTTATAGACTCAAACAGGCAGGCCAATCCGAGAGCTTAGACCAAAACTGGTTGTGCGAATTTGAAGACTACAATTAAATTTCTAGATTAAGTTGGTTATGAGACACTCCAGTTGGTTTCAAAAACTGACCATATGAAATTAGTAGACCATTCTGTGCCTTGCATTATTCTATCTACATAATTTTAAGTAAAAAGGCTGAAAATGTATTACAAGAGCATGTACTGGGAGAAAATGAAATTATCGAGATTATTTTCATTGTGGTGTACAAGCAATGAAAGGATCATTTCTGCTTCCATTAACAATAAATATAATTTTCTTTATGCCAATATACTACTCTTACAAAATCCTTTTGATGTTCATTCAATTTACTGCAACTTCACATCCTGTTACATAGTCCCTAAGTATAGGGTCCATCTCTGTCCTTCGAAAGAATATACTTTTTGTTAGCATCTTATTAACAAACTAAAGTAAAAGTGTACCACATTCATATATCAGCAATGCTTGAAAAAGGTAACTCAAGGCTGCACCATAGCTCAAGTGGTTAGCCACTGGCTTCCCACCACAGCGGCCCGGGTTCAATCCCGGGTCTGGTCAAGTGGGATTTGTGGTGGACAAAGTGCCAGTGGGGCAGGTTCTCTCCAAGTACTTTGGTTTCCCCTGCCAATCTTCAGTCCACCAATTGCTCCACAATCACCCTCACCTATCATCTGGGGCTGGTACAATAGGCCAGAAGTGGCTGCAGTACAAGGGAATTAGTCCCACACCACTAGCAATAGTAAAAAAAAAAAAGGTAAGTCAAGAAGTACTGGCAACTTCTGAAAAAGCCATCACTACACAAAAATGACAGACCCAAGTGCAGGGCAGGTGTAAGGTTATCCTGTTCATTGCCTCACAACTACAGAACTCCTGCCTTCAGAAAATGTCCTATGCCAATGGAAAACACTGAAATGTACTATGCTTTCATCACCATTCTTACATCACACACACACACAATGTTTCTCTTGCACATACCTTCAAGTGGACAAAAACCTGAATGCATAGCATTTGTCTATAGCTGGCTTAATTTAAACCCTTGTAGGTGCTAGTTCACATTTACCTTTCAGTAATGTGCATGCACAATTAACTATACCAACGTGTAATACTATGACAGCCTAACACTGCCAACACATACTTTCTGCTGAAGAGTTATATCTTCTAGGATACAATGCCATGTAGTCTGCTGAAAAGCTACTGACATTTCGGAGGAACATACTGCCTCCTTCTTCAGGGTCAAAGAATAAGCCAAGCAAGAAACCAACGTGAAAGCAGGTAATGAGCAACCTGCTATCCTGCTGGTATCTAATTTGGCTTATTCTTCGATCCAAAAGATGGTCATATGTTCCCCCAAAACATCAGTCGACTTTCAACAGATTGCAAGGTGTTATATCACAGAAGACAGAACTCTTCATAACCACTGCTGCGAAAACTTCAAATCCTATATATTTTCTGTTCCTTGCCATTGCCATTATCTTCTCCAAAATAACCTGTTTCGTTCACAAACTAATTAGTTTTTTAACAGCTCTCATAATGATCCTATCCTTTTTCATAAGGTACTTCACAACTGCTGAATTTGACATAACTGCTAAAAAATTACCACTGTATTCAAGAGTTTATACACTGGTGCATAAAAGGAATAACGTTTTATGCTTTACTCTGGTTTTCCTGAAGTTCCCTGCCCTAGGCTACTGCTCCATGCACTGTAAGATGGTCAGAATAAATCATGGACTATACTAACTGATTACTTCTCTCTCAATATACACCATCTTTACTGGTTTCATAAACCATCAAACATCGAGAAATCAGAATCAGTTAATCAGTTCTGAAATCTAATGTTTCATAAATTTCTTGATGTTCTGGTGTCACTATTTGCAAGGACCAATATATATATATACTGTGGCATATTGTTCAAAGCAAGAACTGTGGAGCCAGAAAAATTGCTGTTGCTAGCGAACGGCTCAGAAACAACAATCATTTCTAGGCAACAGCCACAAAACAGACAACAGAATGACATCCATTGGAGGCAGTAGATTCTTAATAAGCAGGAATAGGTGGCCACTGCTAAAGAAAGGCTCGGTAAACACGTTCCTGCAGCAATGGATACACATGCAACAGAGGAACAGTGTTTTCTCCATGGTCTGTGCCAAGATGTTATAAGCACAGGACAAGGTTAGAGCTTGGATAGTTAGTCTGCAAAGAGAAGACTTAGTTGGCACAAGAATGCTCAGTTGGAAGGAAGCTGCCATTCAGAGAGAACGTTAGTGCAGAAGCTGAAGAATCTCCTGTTAGAAGTCGCTACCAGGAAACAGACTGAGAACACTAGTGTGTGTGTGTGTAACAGTGATTTGTAAGTGTGGAGATCAGCAAAGGTTCTATAATTAAGTGTACTTATGAGTTGTGTGTTACATTGGTCAATAAATGCAATATGCATTCCAAAACCCTGTTCAAATCACTCTAACATGTGACAATACAGTCAAAAGGTATACTTATTGTACCACAACAAAAATGCATACATCTATCTGTTGTTATAGGATAGTATGTAAACTATTTATAAAAACCTGACTGATGATTTCAGGTAATATTACATTTTTTTATTTTTTTTTAAGAATTATTGGACTGGCTTCTTTTGACAATTTGTGTGTATATGCAAACAACTTACAAATTCCATAAATTGAAGCATTCACATAAATATGTCCAAGAATATGAAATGTCAAAATGAATTCAATACTCTAAAGGATTTTCTACTTACCTCACAATGGCAAAATACACCTTGAAAACTAGACTAATTTAAGACATAAGCATCCTCACAATACACAAAAATAAATCCAACAGTGCACACACACAGAACTCCAAAAATGGTCCATTTTAACTATCATCATAACTATAACCATAATTATCATTACTAACATTTCTCATCTGCCCTGCTGTTCCAGTAGCTGGACGCTTTGTGGTGGTTTGTAGAGGCTTGATTCCTTGAAGATTTGCAGTTGTAAGATTGCCAGCTGTACTTGTTGCAATAACTGGCCTGTTGAGATTAGCTGGGCGCAACTGAACAATGTTTCCATCCGCTGACTTGGCTGTAACTAACGTTTGACCTAGAGACTGAAACTGAGGCACCGAACTAATGGCAACATTCCCAGACATTCGTGAAATCTTTCCCATAAGTTGCCCACCACTGACTGTGACATGAGTAGGATTCAAACCTGAAGCGGTAACACTGGCACTTGAGGCAACAGGAGACTGTATTACAACGATTGAAGAACCTGTAGTTTTTGAAGTCACTGTTGATGATGTAAATGTGAGATTATTAGTGACTGATGTAAACTGATTAGTTGAAGTTTCTTGCTGTTGTAATGGATCCACTGCTTCTGGGGATGGTGTAGACATTCCAATCTCATGCATGTCCATGTCTTCCATCGTTGTCGTCTCCTCCATAATTTCTGGCAAGATTGCTTCTGGTGAATGTGCCACATCACATTGCCCATGGTCATCACTCACAACAGTAACCACAGACTCAACAGTTTCACCTGCGGTTAACCCGTCTCCACCACCTTCCAATTCCTCCCCTAATGTCCCCTCAACTCCAACTGTTGAGTTAAGACGGTCCAGTTCTGCCTGAATGTTGACTAATGTCTCCAGCTCTGATGATGTAAATTGATCACTACTGTTTGGCAAAGTGAGAGCACTGAGGTCTCCATCACCTAGGGCTCCAGCATCCAATCCCAGGGTTTCCACTACGGCTCTTGCACCTCCTGGGGGCTTTGTTCCGCCTATTTAACATAGAAATAAGTTGTTGAAGCTCATTATCAAGTTTTATTCTTCAGTGTCTAAATGTATCACAGAACTGGTTAATTTCAAGGCCTGTGTGGAGAACACATACAATATTCAACTATTCACTGAACTATTGTAATATGTAACATTCCCATGGCTTTATAACACGCTTTACTGAAAAGTCAGCGTAATCCAATAACCTATTATAGTTTAATTAATTATTACCTCATAAGGCCGTCATGCATACATCTACTGAACTCTTAATCGTACATTTTGCATTAATCTTAAGATCTGATTACATAGAACTATCACTTTCAGTGTGACCCATGCATGTTACACGTCGCCATCGCACGAACATTCACAGAAAAGCTCTTTCAACTGAGCTGAAACCGGAAGACAACCTATATTACGATAACTTTTACGATACTGAAGCTCATCATCTAAGCGCCATTTACGCAAGGCTAACAACGCAGCCGAGCTCAAATGACGCGCCATTTTCTGCCAGCAAGGCAGGGAAATTTGAAACATTATGATATACTACATTCAATTGCTTAGTATTTATGACCAACAGGTGCTAGGTTGACTTATGCAGAATGTATTACACTTACACATACAGCAGTAACATTCACATTCGACTGCACATTTGTGTTTTCAAGGCGAGCTAACCTCTAGAAAGACCTAAATTTCAGCGCTAAGATGAAGCAAGAAAGGGTGGGGGCATGTCCAAAAGCTTCGTAAAATTACAAAACTAATGATCAAAAATGTTATGTGGCTTATTAGAAACCGCCATTAGTTAGTGTTTCTTTCAATTTTCAAATTAAGTGGGAGTGATAGCAACATATGTCCTTTTTACCTGTATCTGGAGCTGGCATCCTGTATTTGTTCAAAATCACGCGCCCACCATTACCGTCCCATAATGCACTGGACCGCCGCGTATGAAAAAGCCTAAAAGTCGTTGTTCTTGAAAATGTTGAATTATAATTTATCCAGTTTATTCACTCACCCGCCGTTACAAATTTATAGACTTTATAAGTATTGTGCCACATTTATCTTCGGTTAACCTAAAGAAATATTAGGTATACAAGACATGTCTCATTTGCGCTATTTTGCAGCTTCCGCGGTGAATTACACAGTAGCCAATCAGACGGTCTTTTCCGTGTCTTAGTTTCAGCATCAAACATGGCGGTTACCGTGTCGAGTGTAAGGCAGCAACTCGCTGTTTTGGGAAATTCCGGTGGTTCTCATAAAGACCAAGCGGAAAAGTAAGTCTTTGCTTTTTTAAGTAAGCACACCTGAATTACACCAGGGCCTGTACTAACTTGAAAAGTATGTACGTGTAGTGTGCAATTGAGTAATATATGAAAGACATAACCTAATCTTGAGGACTTTCAGATGTGTTTACTAAAGCATAACTATGAAATTGGGTTTTGTTTTAGGTACCGATCTATCTTGGACGCTATACTAACGTCATCAGGAGACGATTTAGCAGAAACTTTGAAAGTCTTTATTGAAGCAAGTATGACATACAATTGAATGAAACTTTTAGAACTAAAATTAATCCTTTGTAAGCATCCCAGTTTTAAATGATTACGATAATATTTCTGATGGGAATACTACAATTTTTTTCAGTTGTAAACGAGAATGTGAGTTTGGTAATATCTCGACAGATTTTGACCGATGTAAGCACACAACTGACTGTACTCTCAGACCCTATATCTAAAGCTGTATCACACTACACCCTTGACAAGGTAAATATTTATGTTATTAAAAATCGCGCTTATGTAATCCTATGTAGCCATTTCGAGTACTACAGTCATATGTTTTTATATCATATGTAGTTGATTTTCAGTATTTAGTGTTCCACATGTTTGCTGCTAGGATTATAGATTTGACACTGGAGCTGTGGATTAATGTAATACAGGAAGATACTTTGTATGCTTGTTTTAAGAATAATACTAATCATTGAAATGTGAGCAAAATGAAGCGGCTGCATGAGTTAACAGTAGAACAACATGTCATAAAAGAAGAAACTGTGGGCAAGAAAGGCAATCGTGGGGTGACAGGAAAATGCTTTGTGTACCTATACTGCTGCTACCTGAACATTCCCATTGTGTAAGGTATAACAAGTTTAATGCACATGACATTTTGGAGATTGTTTCTTTAACTGGCTTGAGGAGGTAACTTGATGTCATTATGCTGATAATTTTTTTATTATTCTATTTGGTTGAGACATTCAGATCATTGGTGTGTTTAAGTAGACATAATTCATGTTCCAGAGCTTCAAGATAATTTCTTTGACATTGAGAAAGCTGATAAGCATAGCGCTAACCTTTGACTTTAACAGTGCTTTGGGGGGCGGGGTGGCAGCGGCAGTGATTTGGCTCTTTTATTAACACTGACATCTTGTTTCTGGATTGTACTGGAAACTTGTCCCATACCTACCACCATTGTTTCCCTACCCCCAAAGGTTAGATCCTTCCAATAGTCTAGCTGAAAGATCTGAGCAGATTGTTATCCTAATTCTTGGCTCACCACTGGGCTCAGCTCTTTGGTCACATTTTGGCACTGACTTCATTTTCAGTTCTTTTCCTGAACAGTCAGATTATAATTTTTTTTTCTCTACAATTTCAGTCACTTTTTCCACATTTGGATTAGCTTTTAAAGTTAGTGACTGGCCAAGTTGTCCGTAACACCAGCCTTTCTTTTTTGGGATCAGTTAACCCAAACAAAAATGTGTTCTACTCTCAGTTCCCTCTCTAACATGACATTCTGTAACATTTTATAAATGTGAGTGGCATTTTTCTCCAATTTCACTAAGATGAGGAAAAATTTTTTAATAGAGAGTTTTTTTTTTTACATTTTCTATTTGTGCAATTTGCTTTCCTACTCAGACTTTTTGGTTCCCATTTTTATTTCTTAAAATAAATCATTAACTCTCCTAAAATCAGGAATAAAAATAATGAACCTTTTAAAGTACAAGTAAAATGTAATGAAAATAATCAAGTAAAAACACATAACAAAACATAATACTGTAATAGAAATTAACAGGAATGAAATATAAACCAATATCAGACTACAAGTTGCACAATAAGAAATTCAGAGCAAATGAAATGTTGATTCTGTTCCAGGAGTTTATCACCCCTGTTTCTGATAAAGGCAACACTGCTAGTAACTCACTGCTAATCCAGAACAAACTCAACTCCAATTATTGACACAAGAGTCCTGAGTCATGTAATACATACCATTCACTGTAATTGCCAGTTGCTCACAACACTATCAACCAAGTTACTTTTCATACCTTATACAGATCTCTGGGTTGTAATTTCAGTGTATGTCATAGAAGTAGCTTACTTGACATACTTCCTCTAAAATCATTTCCAGATAATGTCCCCTCTACAACTTCCTGCAACTGTTGTGGTTCCCCTTGCAGTATATTCTCTTATACTCCCAGTCATCTAGTCATTCTGTTTGTAGGAATGATGGTAGCAATAACCATACGACAACATGATCAGATCACTAGGGACAAGCACTTGGGCTTCTTGACTCTAGCCAGAGGCAGAAAGTGGCAAGCTTCAAGCAGTGTTATTCCCACCACACGAGACTTAATTCAATGGCCTCAGTATAGGACAAAAGTATTATATACACTATGAATGTTTGATGTTGTCCTTTGTACTTGCATTTTAATGAATGACCCAAGCAACTTTAAAAATTACCAAATGTGGGTTTTAAGCATTTGAAAGTGATCCACAAGAACAATTCATTGAACCAGGAACTGGTTTGCACACACAAAATGTGGAAATGTGGGTATCAGACAAATGGTTTAATAGGCACCCAGACACCACACATCATCTGGAGTGTGGCAAAGTCAACTGAACAACAAGAATACTTCTTAGGCACACTGTACATTGTTGGTAATTATAACAGAAATTGACACATTCCTAGTGTACAATTAGCCTACATTATTGTATATATGTATTATAACTTACAGTGTTTTACATTGAGAATGAATAACTTTATGCAAGGTACAACCTCGTGTGATCTCTTTTGAAGAGCAAGTAGCAAGTATTCGTCAGCATCTTGCGGATATTTATGAACGTGAACAAAGTTGGAGAGAAGCAGCTAATGTTTTGGTAGGAATTCCTTTGGAAACTGGACAAAAGTAAGTCTTAATATTCACATCTTGTGGGACATAATGCCTTGTAGTTTGGTATACGTTTACCACTGTTCCTTTAAAAAAGTGGAATAATCTTCATTGTCACCACCATGAGAAAGTTAATGATATGAAGCTGAGATTTTTTTTTCTCAAAAGTAATACAGCATAGTCTGCAACCATGTATTCCAACATTCAGTGGCTATGCCAAGGCATGACCTTTCTGTTATTTGTGATCACTGTTGTTACTACTTGGTCAGATGCAGTAATAGTACAACAGCTTTGCAGAGTGAAACTACTGGCCCAGTTGCAATAATTGCCTTACATATTTCATATAATTATTTTATGAACAAAACAGGACCCATTATCCTCTTCTCTTTAAGAATATACCAAACACCAACTTCTGTTCCAGAGTGTAACTTCCAATATAAGGTATTGATTTCCTGTGCTCAAGCATCTTATTGTGTTCATGTGTCTGTGATACATTTCAATTTATGCTGATAACTGTAAAAGGTCCAGTTTTGCTTCCCCCCCCCCACATAGATCATAATAAATGAAGTGATAAAGATATGACTAGTGGAGCAAGAATGTTTAATCCATGTTATGAATTTTGCAAGGGGATAATCATAGACAGGGAGGCAGGAATTGGAGGACATTATTCTGGTAGGAGTTCCTCTTTTCTGTTATGAGATATCTTGAAGGTGTGGGGACATAATTCCACTCATTCTGAGCCATGATGCTGGATGGAGTTGAGGGGCTTTGATTCTAAAGTAAGAGCCTGGAATAGGAGCCATTTGAATGAGATGTCAAAGAAAGGAATGTAAACATCAGGAATCAAACCTTCCCTGTCCAATATGTGACACAGCACTTTTCTAACTACACCTGTCATGCCTCATATATTGAAATACAGTAAAACTTGGTTATAGCAACATCGGTTTCTGCGACACCTTGTCTATTGCGTCAAATATTCAATGGTACGAACTAATTCCTCATAAAGCAACTGTTTAGTATGACATGCACAAATGCATCAACCTCGTATGTAACGTCATTTTCATTCCTGAATTTCTCTGATATGGACATTGAACGTAATTTAGAAAGTGTGTATTGGGCAAGTAACAGGAAACAGATGAAGATAACTGATTACTGTACTCGTATCTAGGTACAGTAAGGCACAACAATTGATGTAATCTACTGTAATTTGGTGAGTAGGCCTACCTTTAATATACAGTATTAGTGCGGTGTGTATTGTCAGTGAAAAGCGCTGTAATATGTCTTTGATATTACACATTTGGGCAATTCCACGTTAATGTTACATTAGTCTGTACTTAACTACGTATTTCACTAAAAAATGCAACATTTTAAATCGGTTTTTGGTAGATTTTTACGTGACTAACATAAGGCTATTGTGGAAGTGCCCATTTCGGTTACAATGACATTCGTTTATAACGACACTATTTTTAGGTCCCTTTGATGACATTATAACCAAGTTCTACTGTACTTATATTATAACTAAACTAATGCCTCTTATATTTGTTTTGGAAATCACTTTAATGATTAGGAACCATCACCTTGAATCAATATATACAGTACACATGAATAGTTTGTACTACAAAACACACCAGAAATAATGTACATGAAAACTGAATAGCTGAGAAAGAAAGAAAGAAGTATTTACCAGTGAGGAAAAGAACGATGAAAGGCAAAAAATGATCAGTGAATATAGAATATATAGTGATTTTTAGTAAGTAGCAACTCCACAAGAGGAAGGTCGTACAAGGCCTTATATCACTATGTTTCTGTTCTTATTTTTATGTGATACAGGCAGTATTCTGTGGATTACAAATTGGAAACATATTTGAAGATTGCAAGACTGTATCTAGAGAATGATGATCCAGTGCAAGCTGAGGCATACATAAACAGAGCATCTTTACTGCAGGTAAGTTCTTTTTGTAAAATCATGTTAAAATAGTTATTGTAAAATAAGCACACAGTAATAAAATATTAATATGTTTAAACTAAATTTCAGGCTGAATCCAAAAATGAACAGCTGCAAATATATTACAAAGTATGTTACGCAAGAGTACTGGATTATCGTCGTAAGTTTATTGAAGCTGCACAGCGCTATAATGAACTGTCATACAGAGGAATTATTCATGAAGATGAGAGGATGACAGCACTGCGGAATGCTTTAATATGTACAGTCCTTGCTTCAGCTGGTAGGTAGTGATTAGTGTTACTGTATGTGAAGAAAACCATACTATCGATTTTATCTCAAAAAGTGTAAAATTTTGATATGTAGCTGATTTTAATCATTCCTGCTTTGTTCAGGTCAGCAACGCAGTCGGATGCTTGCAACATTGTTTAAGGATGAGCGATGTCAGCAGTTGCCAGCATATTCCATTCTAGAAAAAATGTATCTTGATCGAATCATAAGACGATCAGAGCTACAAGAGTTTGGGAACTTGCTGCAACCACACCAAAAGGCTTCCACTACAGATGGTATATAATACTGCTATGCCAGTATTTTTGGCAGGGGAGTTTTCATACATAGCTGATTGTTGAGTTCTAACCAACTCCTACACCACTGATATAGTTGGTTTTACTTTATCATTTCATTTATTAAGCTCTACCTCTATGTTACATAAAATAATATTGAATAGGACCTTGTGATTACCTAGTGCTGAAGAATATGCAGTTATTATTTCTGATAAAATGTAAGTTGGAGAGAGTATTATGGTAAATAGAAAGAAGCGAACTTCAACTTTAACATCAGTCTCTCATGTCTTAAGTCTAGTGCTCTGTCACCACCTCATGCCACCATTTCTAGGGTATTAGCAAAGATGTTCATCCTTTTGGTTGGTAATAGAGAATCTGGGATGGGATTCTTAAGTGACACCCCAGTCTTACCTATTGGTCTGAGAGAATAACTGCAGATATTAAAACATTCATAGGCTCTTCGTTTAACCTTGATTTAGAAAATGTGTCTACCCAAAACACCTTATGCTAAATATCACAAAAGACCACAGATGATTAACATCACAACCATTCTTGTCACTTTTGCAGAAAAAGAGTTTAAAGAGTTCAGGGAGATACTGTATGTGTGACCTGTATAAAATGTTTGCCCATACAAACTGGAACCTGAGTGCTGATGGTTCCTCCAATTTTGGAATACTAAGTTTTACTCCCTCAGAATCCATAGTTGTCCCTGCACTTAATTAAGCACCATGACATTAAGACATGGATGTATATAGATCCACCATTCTTGACCTCAGCATTAGATGGATGCAAGCGGTTGGCTTCATGCTCCTGCTGCTTTACTCTCAGAAAAGAGCCCCAGGGATTCACTGGAGGCTGAGTGGGCCCAATAGCCAGTCTGTACACTGTGGGGTAGAAAAAAATTCCCCTGCTGGGAATTTAACCCCAGCCATCCAGCCTGTAGTCCATTGCTGTACTGACAGAGCTAGCCTAGCTCCAGTACACTTTTATACTAATTATATGTAGAAGCTGGTAAGTCTAGTAGGTGGCAATAATAAACAGTGAGAAGTATGTATACTTAAGTCAATATTGTAGTTTTTGACTTGAGGGGGGGGATATATATATGTAAACAACACACTGCTTATTTTGTCACATCTGTCTTTTGAAAACCTTTCAAGTTCATGGCAAAAATGATGATTGCAGAGTGTCCCTTAAGGGCTATAATATATATGAGTGGAAAGATTATCTACTGAGACTAGCTAAATGAAGATGCAAATTATTTTCCCATTTTAATTTCAACAGACTTTGTATTATCCGATTATATCAGAATGGTCATAAAAAACGTTCATTTCCTTTTTCATTATGCTGTTTTAGGTTCAACTATTTTGGAGCGGGCTGTAATCGAACATAATCTGTTATCAGCTAGTAAGCTGTACAACAACATCACATTTGAAGAATTAGGAGCACTCTTGGAAATTCCTCCTATCAAAGCCGAGAAAATTGCAAGTCAAATGATAACGGAGGGAAGGATGAATGGTTATATTGACCAGATAGATTCCATTGTCCATTTTGAAAGTAAGTTAACTTATTTCCAATAAGAAGTTGATTTTTTTTTTCTTTAACGCTATAGAAGGCCAAATTCCCACACAAACATACTATTTACATAAACCCTATTCTTATATTTAATTTCAGTATTTAGAAATTATTCATTTGAAGCACAACTAGAAGTATTCTTTTCCATTCACATCTGAAAGACGGAAAGGGTCAAATGAAGATTGGGAAACAAGTTGTTTGTGTGGGATTATTATGCTTCAAATTAGACGAAACAAAAGTTCTGAATATATCATGCCATTCAGAACTGTTGGCAGACTGCACTGTTAAGTGTATGTGTACATTCTGGGAGGATCTGGGGGGTATAATTCTTTGCAACATATAGTGCAGCTTGTTTGTCAGAACATAACAATAACTCAGGTCAAAATCATTACATTTTTGGAACAGATTTAGTTACTGAAAATTTTCCAGCTCCTGCTTCAGCAACATTTGTCTGTTGTAAACTAACTCTCATGTTATTTTGAGGTTTTATTACTACTTTCCTAAATTCCAGAAAGGGAGGTTACTCTTCAGCAACTTACATGATTATGGAAAATCCATAAAAATTACTGCCTCATTTGAAGCTTTTGCTTTGGAGTTGTATTCAGGAGGTACCCAGTTTGAACCTTGTCTAAAATATTGATTACCCAAAGATTTTCTCAGTCTCTTCAGGCAAATGCTACAGTAGTATCTCAAACAAGGCCAAGATCTCTTCCTTCTTCATTGTTCCAAGTTATTATTATTATTATTATTATTATTGGAGGGGGTGGGTTTCCCCATGCACCGCGACCAGTGGTCTATTGTATGTCCCCCTGTGATATTCTACCAGTCTCTATACCCTACCGATACTGGTGCGTGCCATCAGTCCCGACTCAGCCAGAGGGTTCAGCCTCTACTGGCTCAGCGGTATNTCCAAGTTGAGTTCATTAATCATCCCACCACTTGATGCTATATAGTGTGACCTACTGACAGCAATGCTAAACAAATAAACAAGTATTTTGGAATAAAGTAACAAAAAACCCCTGTTTGTGAGGGTATACATGGATGAGACTGATTTCATATCTAAATAAATAAAATCCAAAATATACCTTATAGTTCTGTACAAATAAAATCTTGTTTCAGCACGAGAAGTACTACCAACATGGGACAAGCAAATCCAGTCACTGTGCTATCAGGTGAATCAGATAATCGAGAAAATAACTAATAATGATCCAGACTGGATTACCAAAGCTATGGAAGAGCAAATGGTTCACTGAATGAACCATATGCGGAAGTGCTTTGTTTCTTATTGTAAGCAGTTTTGTGGCAATGATATCAGTTATTTGTATCTACCTTGTTATAAATGTATATGTTCAGTGTTTAAAATAACATGGCCTTCCACAATTTATGTAAGTGCATTTGTTGTTCGTGTTAAATAAATAAAAGCTGTATTTCATATCAGTGATGTTTTATATTTACAGCCTCCCTGAAACAACCTAAACCGATCCAAGTTGCATTGCAGTTCACTTATACAGTGGAACCTCTCATAACGAGTAATTCGCATAACAAGCAAAACAAATTGTAAAAAAAAATGACTCTCTTAACGAGTGACGTTTTGCATAACGAGTGATGAAAGGGGAAGTCCCGGATCGTGCGCTTGCTACATCAGTCTGTGTTTAGCACTCGTTCCGCTAGCATCTTAGTGTCGCTTGCAATCACACATTTTTCCAAACTTGTGTTCAGACATATTATTTGGATTTTTTGGTGCAAAGTTTAATAGCCCTCACAAAAATGTCCCCGAAGAAATACAATCGGTCTACATCAATTTGCACTATCCTCAAGAACAAGGACAAGATTAAGGAGACAGATGCTTCAAAGGGAGTGATAAGAATATCTACGCAATGGTTAAGTATTCTTGACGATGTTGAAAGGTTGCTCCTCATATGGATAAACGAAAAGCAATTGCAAGGCGACATAATTAATGAGAACATCATTTGTGAGAAGGCGAAAGTGATTTTCACCGACCTCATTAAGAAAACGCCAGGATCATCAACAGCAGAAGCATTTAAGCATTAAAGCATTTAAGGGAAGCCGTAGGTGGTTCAAGAAGTTTAAGAGAAGAACCAGCATCCACAGCATTGTAAGGCATGGTGGTAAAGCAGCAAGCTCCGACACAAAGGCAGCAAAGAACTTGGTCGACTTCCAAGAAGCTCGTAGATTCTGAGGGTTACCAGCCACAACAGGTTTTTAATTGTGACGAGATGGGTCTCTTCTGGAAAAATGTGCTGAAGCAAACCTATATAACAGCAGAGGATAATGCATTGCCCAGCCATAAGCCAATGAAAGACCATCTCACGCTGCTATTTTGTGCAATGCGAGCGGTGATTTGAAAATTAAACTGCTGCTTGTTTACCATTCAGAAACTCCACGAGCCTTCAAGATGTGTAAGTCCAGAAGAGCAGGCTAAATGTGATGTGGAGGTCCAACAACACAGCTTGAGTGAAACATGACCTTTATACTGACTGGATCAATTAAGTGTTTGGTCCTTCTGCGAAAAAATATTTGCTTGAGATGAATCTGCCACTTCATGTCTTACTTGTTATGGACAACGCATCGTACATTGAGAAGCATCACCCTAATAAGGCAGTGGCTATGCGCACTACAGATTTAGTTAATGATAATGCTGTGTCGAATTTTCACCAAATTTTGAAGCGTCGGCAAAAACAAATGTCTCTAGACAGCTTTCTAGTAAAACTGAATTAGATATGTACGATGGGGTACCCAAAAGAAACCGAACTAATTTTTTTGTGGGCAGAGCTTTTGTAGTACTGCGTTTTGCCGCTGAGCGCATAGAGCTAACATTCCTGAGTCGATAAGCCGACTACCGTTGCTTCAGAAGGTAAGGACTAGTTTCGGCAGAATTTATAGTGACAACTGTTTTGGGTGATCGTCGTTTTTGCAATGGCTGATTTTCGTGCGGTGATTAAATTCTGCTTTTTGCTCAGGAAAAGTGGAACAGAAACTCTTCAAATGTTAAAACGGCGTACAAGGACGATGCTATGGGGAAAACTCAAGTGTTTGAGTGGTTTTCCAGTTTCAAAAATGGTGAAATGTCAATTGATGACGAACCTCGTTCTGGTCGTCCTTCCACGGCCCGAACACATGAAAATGTTGAAAAAATTCGTGAAATCATCAAGGAAGATCGACGGACCATTGAAGAAATTGTGGAGCTGTCGGGTGACTGGTTTTTCCATCATGACAATGCCCCTGCTCACACAGCCCTGTCTGTATGACCCCTGTTCCTCACCCTCCATACTCACCTGACCTTGCCCCGTGCGACTTCTTTTTGTTTCCTCGAATGAAAAGAGACATG